GTTGTGTTAAGTGGTGATTTTTTATTATTATTTTTATTTTTATTTTTATTATTATTATTATTATTATTATTATTATTATTATTATTGTTTTAATGTTTTATTGTTATTTTAGTCTATTATTCCATGTTTTTTTTTTTTAAAAAAAAATTATATATAATTAATCTTTACCTTTCAAAAATAAAATTGATATATTTGTCTTTTTTTTAATATATAAAAAATTTAATATATCTATAAATATAATTATTTATATTTATATAAAATTAATAAAAAGCAATTTTAGTATTTATTTCTTTTTAGAAATTAGGACAATACATGATTTATATATAAATTAAAATATTTTGTATAATTTTTTTTTTTTTTTTGGGAGGTAGAAAAAAAAAAATATAAAAAAAAAATAAAATAAAATATAAAAAAAATAAAGATATATTTATGATAATATTATATTATTTAATATGAAAATCGTCATTATATTATTCAATAAAAAATTAAATTTTAAATTAAAATTAAATAATTATTAAATTACAAAAAAAAAAAAAAAATTTCCTTTTGGGGTATATACATTCATACCTCTTATAAAAAAAAAAATTATTAAAAATTATTAAAAATATTTATTTATTTAAATATTTATTTAATTATTTATTTATTTTATTTTATTTTGAACTTGTTTATTAATAAAATATAAATATAAATATAAATATAAATATAAAACAAAAAAAAAAAAAAAAAAAAAAAAAAAAAAAAATTAAATATTCAAATTATTCTTTTTTTTTTTTTTGAATATAAATTTATAAATATTATAAAATTATATTATGATTTTCTTTAATAATTTTAAATTGCTAATATAATATATATATTGGTATAAAATTTAAATTTAATATAAAAAAGTGATATTGTTATTGCTATATAAATTCATTACTATTATTATTAAAATTTGGATGTTGTTGTTGTTGATGTTGATTAATTTGTTGTTGTTGTTGAAGTTGAATTTGGTACTGTTGTACTTGAATTAAATTATTTAATTGATTTAAAATTATAGTTTGGTTTGTTTCCAATTGTTTGATTTTAGATTCTAAGGATTCTCTAACATTACGTTCCTCTTCTAATTTCATTTCGAATAATGATTTTAGTTCAATTATTTGAGGAGTCGAGTCATTTTGAGTTTCTTGGCATTGTGATTGAATGGCTCTTTTATCTCTTCTCATTCTACCCAATGTTTTAGCATACTCTATATATTTTACACAAAAATCTGCTTCTCTATCGTTAAACATTGAACGATTTTGAGAGATGCTAAATGTCTTTTGCCATCTCCATCTTCTCCAAACCAATTGGATTAATCTGGCAGCTGCATCCCTTTCTTTCTTTTGTGCCTCTACTAATGTTACAATATTTAATACTGGTCTTTGATGTGATGTTGCTTGTGTTAATCTACCAAAACTTTCAATTACAAATGATAATAATAATAAACCAAAGACACATGATACAATTGCTGAAAATCTTCCAATAAAAGTTTGCGGGTTATATTCATCATATGTGTCGGTTGGCCACCCTGTAACCATACTTAAAAATGAAATCTAAAATAATTAAACAATAAATTAGTACATTATTAAAAAATTTTTTTTAAAACTATAATTTATATTTACATAAAATGCAACTGGAAAAGTAAAACCAGAGAACTTTTCTCTTTCGAAAACATATAATATTTGACCAGTAACAGAAAGTACAACCAATGTAAACGATAGATAAGTTAAAATTGGAGCAACAGAAATGATATATTTTAAACTGAGTACCCAATTAAACTTTGGAGAAACATCTTTTACCAATTGTTTAGTAATATGTTGTCTTAATTTATAGATTGGGCTATAATCTCTTAGTACTCTACAAAAGAGATATAACCTGAGCCACATAAATAAGCCCCATTTTGGATCTTTATACCATGTATATTCTGTTGAAATAAATGGAAGAGGTTGTAATGAACAAACTAATATTTCTAACCAAAATAACGGCCCAACTTTTGTAGATTTTAAAACATTAAGTCTTGTTACTCTAAAACCCCTAGCTCTTTTTGTTAACCAATTATGTGTTACTTCTGATAATAATAATGAATAATATTCAATTAATTGAAGTACTAAAAAAAAAAAAAAAAAATTAATATTTAAATTTTTTGATATTATTACAAATTATTATTATTTTTAAATAAAATGAGTAATTTACCTAAAAAAAGTGATGTTATAAATATTAATATTCTAATGATTTGTGATGCTCTATTAATTTCGATATGATTATCTACCCAAGAAGTTTCAAGTTCTATACACATTAATCCAACACCAAGCATACCATTTAATAAAATAAATAAATATCTTGTCTTTAAACGATTATCTGTTTGTTCTGAACGATATTCACTTATTAAAAATAAAATATTTTAATATTAAATAAATTTTAAATTTTAAACAATTATTTAAATTTGTAATACATACTTGTATTTGTCTATATTCCCTAAAATTTTTGATTCTTCAATTATCGGAGTATAATCATCTTTAAATCTTTGAAGATTAATTAAAGCTTTTCTTCTTGACATTATTTAATATTAAATAAGTATTATATTTTATTATTATTATATAAAGAAAAGAGGTTAAAAAAAAAAATTTATGGTGGGTTGTTAATTATTACTATTTATTTTTATTTGAAAAACAATTAAAAAAAAAAAAATAAATAATTTAAAAATTATTTATGAAAAAAAAAATAAAGAAACTATATCCTTTATTTATTATTTATTTATATATTATTAGTTTAGTTTAAATTATATAAAATAAAAAAAATAAAAAAAAGAAATTTAAAAAAAAAAATTAAAAAAAAAAAATAATTTTAATTTTTTTAATATTTTTTTTTTTTTTTTTTTTATTAGATGTGTGGAAAGATTTTTTTTTAATTATAGTAATTATTTTGACTAAAATAGTTAAACTATTTATATTGAATTTTTTTTTATTTATTATAATTTTTATTATAATTCCCAAATTAATTTTGATAATTCGTTTATATTTTGTGCATTTCTATAATTGGGGTAATGTCTGGTAATAGTTGTGATTGCATCGCAGTGATGGATTAAAGTATAGGACATTGCTCTTTTAATGAATGATTCTGGATTTTGATTATAATATTCCAACCATGATTTACTTGATCCATCTATAAATTTTAATTTATAATTTTCTAAAAATGATCTGAGTCTTGTTTTATTACCGGCAAATAAAGAGATGTGCAATGAAACCAATTCATACCAACGATCACCAATTTGAGAATCACCTAAATCTATTAAATGGGTTGGCTCCCATATATTTACGGTTTTAGTATTTGATGGTTTTATTTTATTTTGAAATTGAATTTTTTTTGAATTTTTAATTTTATTTGTTGGGGGTTGTGGTTGTTTATTTAAAATTACAGTTGACTTTTCAATTCCCAAAACATTTTCATCAGTTAAATCACCATGAATAAAACATGGCTCTAAAGTTGTATCAATTAATTGATAAATATCATTTGGTAAATATGATTCCATTTGTGAACGAATATGTACTGGTAAACCATTCCAATTCCAATGATTATAAATATATTTTTTTTCGATTTCTTTTAAATATTTCTTCCATGGTAACCATTTATCACTACCTGATGAATAAAAATCTTTAATATTTTGATTTGAATCGGCATTGGATTGGTCTATATCAATTGAATGAAGTTGATAAACTGTTTGATTTAAAAATTCAATTAATTTTTCTTCTGCAATTAAGGTATCTTCCTCTTCATCATCGTCCTCATCATCGTTTTCATCATCGTCTGGTGATGGAAAATTATAAGGATATGGTAATGCTTCAGGAACCTCTTGTACATCTTGTAAATTTAATTTATCTTGTAAAAATTCGGTAACAATATAAGGCCATTTCCATTCATCTTCATTTACTGGTGTTTCTAAAACTTGATTGATTTTACCACTACTGAGTAATTTTGGGAATCTTGAGTGTAAAATTTCATTTTCTTTAATTTTTAAATAGACATAAATCTCATTGGACCATGATTTTTCACCACCAGACAATTCTGAACAATAAAATTTAACCACAAATTTATTGTCAACAATAAATACTGGACTTTGACCTGATGTTGGCATTTGAATATCTAATGAGGACTCTTGAATATCTTGATCAATAAGTTTATTATATTTTAATAATTTGATTACAATTGGGTTCCAATACTTTTCATCGTCAAATGAGTGTACAAATTGATTATTTTTAAATTCAAACTCTTTAAACTTTTCTGTAAACTCTGGCTTTTCTCTAAGTAAATGTTGTTTAAATTGGTCATAGTCTTTACGATCGTGCTCAGTACCTGATAAATCTTGACACACTTGAGTAAAGTTTTGTGAATCACAAAAGTTTTGTGTAACAGCAATAGATTCTTCTAAATTTAAAACCATATGCCACCAGCCACCTGGTACAAAAATAGTTTCACCTGGCTCTTGGATACACTCGATTGGTCTATAATCTGGTGGTAAATATGGATATACTTCTAATAGCCAGAGTAATGATGGTGGAGACCCATAAATCTTTTCTTCGAAATCCTCTAAATCGACTGTGTATGGAGTAAAAGCTGGTGGATACATTAACCATCTCTTTTTACCACTAATCAATGAATTCCACGCACTAGTGCCAGCTGGGTCAATATGCCAAGAGGCACCACTTCTTTCTGGACCAATAACAAGCCATCTAAAATGAGGTCTTTCTTCTGGACCTGAATATTGAAAGAGATCCTCTGGGAAATATTTTGGTACTTTATATTGTTCTAAAAGTGATGGAGCTTTTTCGCCAAATGCTTGGTCAAAAACATAAAGTGGCTCTTCATCATTTTGAGTCTTCATATATTGTACATAGTCTCTAAAGGTCATTTGAATTCTTTTATTGTCTTGATGGGCAATTTTAAAAATTGTATCACCATACTTTTCAATTAATTTCTCAGTTGTCCATTCACCATTCATACATCCGGTACCATCTTGAGCCCCTTTGAAAATTACTGGTATATTTGGGGTTTCGAAATCCCTAATAAACTCTTCTACTGTTAAACTATTACTGTCAATATGTTTGACATGTCCTAAATCGAACCCATAATTCCTGACACTCATATGTCTTCTTAACCATCTTGTATAAATTTCGTGTGATTGGAATTCTATAAAAATATTAATATTTTTTTTTTAAAAATTTTAATAAAATAATAAAAAATATATTATACTTACTTGGAAAAGATAATTGAATATATGGTGATGTATATTGAAAATTATTTGGGTAGAGAAAAGATATAGCTGAAATTTTCCAATTTTGAATATATTTAACTTGTTCTTTTCTATCTTTTATTTGTTTAAAGAATGCATCTTTCCATAATCTATCATCATTACATAATATATAAAATCCTGCACTAATTCCCTGGTATTTAATTAATTCTTCACATGAAAACTCTGAAAGAATTTCATTTAAAATAAATTGATCTTCAAGTACCGAAAATGCACCTAATGTATTATTCTTAAACTTTAGTATTTCTTCTTGTTCTTTTTTTTGTTTTATTTTTTGAGTTTGTTTTGATTTTTGTTGTTTTTTTTTATTATTATTATTATTATTATTATTATTTTGTTGTGGTTTAATTTTTGATACCATTTTTTAATTATTTAATAATGATAAATTATCAAAATTATAATTAAATTTAATATTATTAGTTTTAATATTAAAAAAAATAAAAAAATATTTAGTTTTTATTATATTTATTTTTTTTTTTTTTTTTTTTAATTTTTATTTTTTTTTTTTAAAAAAAAAATAAAAAATTTTAAAATTAAATGAAAAAAAAAAATCTTTAAAAAAAATTATTACTTGAATTCATGAGATTTTTTATTATATTAATACATCATAGGGCATTCATGTAACTGATGTGCAAAATTGTACAAATGATTTCTTTTTAAATTTTTTTTTTAAAAAATTTTTTTTTTTTTTTTTTTTATATAAATTTATAAAAATCAAAAGTTTTTTTTTATTTTTTTTATTTTTTCAATTAAATTTATACAAAGGTATTAAAGTCATATATTAATAATATATAAATTTTTTATATTTTTCATTTATTGTATTTTTATTGTATTTCGATATTGTTTTTTTTTTTTTTTATTATAATAAATATTTTTCTTTTTTTTTTTTTTAAAAAAAATCAATTTTATTTTTTTCTTTATATATATTAATTTAAATATTAATATAAAGTAATATAAAAAAAATAAAAAAACTAATCTATTAATTTATTATTATAACATTATACTAATTTTTTTTTTTTTTTTTCTTATACAGATGAGTTATCCAAATCAATACCCATATGGACAACCAGGTTATCCACAATATCCACCAGGTTCTATCCCACCACAAGGTTATTCCCAATATCCACCAGGTACTGTTCCACCACCACCAGGTGCTTACCCACCAATGGCTCCAGGTGCTTACCCACCAGGTCAATATGTCGGCGTTCCAGGTTCATACCCACACGGTCATGTAACTCCAATGGCCTATCCACCAGGTGCCTATCCAGTCGGTCATCATCATGGTCATTACAAACATAAAGGTAATTATAGTTTTTAAAAATAAATATTCTCATTTATAATATTAATGTAATTTCTTTTAAAATTTAGGTTACAAACATAAACACAAGAAATTCAAGCATAAGGGTTTCAAAGGTTTCAAAAAGGGTTTCAAAGGTTTCAAAAAAGGTTTCAAGAAAGGTTTCTACAAACATTAAATAGTTTTTTTTTTATAAAAGTTATTTTTTTTTTTCAACAATTATTAAAATAATCATCATTTGATAAATTATTTCAATTTTTTTAAATAAAAAAATATTGTATAATATTAATTAAAAAACCTCAAAAATTTTACCATTCTTTTTTTTTTTATTTATTTATTTATTTTATTTATTTATTTTAAAACAAAAATTTTATTAATAAATTTACATTATATTACATTTTGAATTATTAGTACTTTCTTTAATGGGTTTATAAACATAAGGTTCTATTTTTTTTTTTTCGAAATAACCTTTATCTTTTTTATATACAAATGTTGGTGTTCTATTTAGACTATCCATTGAAATATTAAACCATGTTTCTGAATTTTTAATTGTTGTTGGTTTGCCTCTTTGTTTTATAATTTCTTTTAAAACTGGTTTTGTAGAAGATGATGATTCATTATTATTATTATTATTGTTTAATATTTCATTAATATTTTCTTTTTCAACTGATTCTTTATTTTCTTCTATTACTATAAAATTTTCTTTATTTAAGTCATTTAAAATTTCTTTTAAATCATTTCCATGTTGACCATTTGATTTTAATTCTTTTTCATAATCTTTGAATTTTTCTTTATTTGCTTCTCTATAACAAATTGCTAAAAACATTTCGGTAATTAAGTCAAATTTGTTAAATTTTATACAAAGACCACCAGTTCTCTCCGCAATTTCTTGATAGAAACAACATTCTTTAATTGCTTGAATACCATAGATTTTGATACCCATATCAAAAAGATTATCACATTCTTCAAACCAATTGATATGTAAATTAGTAAATGAAGGTTCGTGAGGATTGGAATCACCAATCATAACAAATGCCTTTGATGTATGCTTTGACCATGATAATTCTTTTGCTTTATATAATGCATATTCATATGCCTCTGGTACATCACCTCCGCTAGTATGAGGGATTTTAGTAATGAAAGTTGTTAATTTTTCAACATTTTCGGTTAAATCTAAAGTTGTTATGACATTTTCACGGTCACAATAATCTCCCAAACCCATAATTCCTATTTTAATATTTGGAATGGTTTGCATTAAACGGGTTACTGTTTGATTTACTTTGGATTTAACTGATTCTATAACTGAAGCCATACTACCAGTAGTATCAAAACAAAAAACTATTTCAACATCTGATGAGATTGATGATTCTACAAAACTTTTTAACAATTCACTCTCATTAATTGAATCTTCGACTGCAGTTGATGTAGTTGTTGAGAATGATGAAGAAGATGTATCAGTTTCTATTAATTTCATATCTAGGACATCATTCATTGAGACTTTTTCTTGTAATGCCATTGATTCATTTAAATCAATTCCATGTTTGCATAATACAATTTTTGAGGTTTTAACTTCCGAATATTCAATACCAATTTCCTCTCTAATATTTTTTATTAAATGCAATACTTTTAATCCATCATTGTTTGGAATTGATATTGGAAATAGTTTTTCTTTATAGGATATTTCAACTACTAATTCTTTGATTAAAATCATATGAATAGTGCATTCTTTTTTGATTCCAAATTGACCAATAGTACCTTTTGATAATAAATCTCCTGCATAAATTAAATTAAATTGAAATAATTTTTTTTCACTATTAAATAAAAAAAATTAATATACGTTTTAATAAGAAATTTATAATTTATAAATATTTTTTACTAACCATCTTTCTGATACTTTTTTATATAAAATATCAATATTGTCTTCTAGATTTACATCTAATGAAAATGTTACTGATTCTGTTTTAATTAAAATTATCATATTTGTATTTTTTTTTGATTTAATTGTTAAATATATTAAAAATATAAAATATAAAAAAAATAAAAGTTTTTATATAAAAAAAAAAAAGTATGACCTAAAAAAAAAATTTTATTCAATGAATTTTTTTTTAATAATATTTTTATAAATTTTATTTTCAATTTTTAAATTATCTATTTTTAATTTTTAAAATAATTTTTTTTAATAAAACAAAATATTAGAAATAATTTATAAAATAATTTAATATTAAATCAAAAATAGATATATCACCAAAGTGAATCTTTTTTATTTAATTTTTTTTTTTTTTTTTTTTGAAAAATATTATTTAAAAAATATTTTTTTTTAATCATTACTTTTGAAAAGTGAGTTATTAAATTTTTTTTTTTCTATTGGTCTTTGTAATATTGGTTTAGTTTTTATTTTTTTTTCTTCAATTTCCCCATTTCTTATAACAAAATCTTCAAAATTAATATAACCACCACCAATTCTTACAAAAATATTATTTTTTTGAACAACCAAATTTATTATTTTTGTACCAAATCGATATTTTTCAAATGATATCTTACTAAAGTTTGAGGGTACTAATAGTTTTTTATTATTCTTAAAGTTGTCTACTATATCATCGATTATTGCATTATCTTCTAATGAATTATTGTTTTCAATTTCTGAATTATTATCATTTTTACTATTGTTTATGCAAAATTTTATTTCCCTATTTTTTTTAATGCCACTATCTTGAAATTTATTTTTATTTTTATTAAAATAATAAATAAAATTATTTATATAATGATTATTATAAAATCCTAAATGTAAATTATAATAATGTATTAAATTTTTTAAGAATGATTCCAGCAATATTGAAACATTCTCCAAACTGTTTGAAATAATTTCTCTATTATTAATTAAATAAACATGGTTATGAAATGATTTTAATGTATCTATTAATGATTTATTGTGTTGCTTTTCAATTTCTTTAAAACAACTATAGTTTGAGTTTAAATCTATTAATCTTTTATTATATTGTTCAATTATTACATTAGTTTTGTTATTTAATTCTTCCATTTGATTTTTAATATAAATTAAAATTTCATCTTCACCTTCATTATTATTACACATTAAATAGTTTTCAAAAGAATTTGTTATTTTGTTATCTATTGACTCTATACTTTCTTTAATATTGTTATTTTGAAATATAACATTTGAATTTAAGTTTATCAATTTTAAATTTAAAGAATTTATTTTAATTTGAAATTCGTCAAATACACCAATTACCTCTAAATAATTAAAACTATATGATTTAACAGGATGATTATTAATTTGATTTTTTATTTGATTTTTATTTATTTTTTTATAATCATTATTTATTATTAAGTTATTATTATTAAAATTATTATTGTTTAAAATATTTAAAATTGTTTCTAAATTGTTGTTGTATGTTTGATTGTTTTTTAATGATTTTATAATTGGTTTTAGATTATTTATTTTTTTATTTATTTCTATATATTTTGATTGAAATTGATAAATTTCATTTAGAGTTGCTTTAATTTTAAGTAAATATTCATTATTTTCTCTAAAATTATTTAATAAAAAATAAATTATTTTACTATCCAGATTATTTTTTTCATAAAAATATATTTGTTTTATATTATTTTCGTTTTTTTTAATTTGATTAAATTGTTTTAGTAATTTTATAAGTTTTAAATTGGTTTTATTGTTTAATTCTAAATGTATCAATGGTGATGAATCTGAATTTGATAGTGAATTTAATGTAGAAAGAGGTGATGATAATGGTGGTAGTGTTAATAGAGATGTGGGGGTAGGTGGGGTATCAAATTTATTTTCAATAAAAGTGTCATATCCTTTATTATTTTTTAATTTATCCTCTAAATTTAATAATTTTAAATTGGATGATCTATTTGAAATTGCTTCAATCCAATAAATTCTATCTTCTTCTTTATTGCTATAAAAGTAATATACTCTTCCTGGTGCTAAATTTAAAAAAAAACATTTTAAAAACCACAATTAAAAAATATAAATAATATTAATAAAAAAAATATAATTTTATAGAATTCATACTTGTTATCTCAAAGCCCCATACTGAATTTGAATTAAAATTCTTATCATTGGAAATATTAAAATCTAAAATATCCTTTATTTTAATTGACCCACATAATTTTTTTTGGTCAGCTGAATCATAATAATAAATAATATCATCATACTCTGAAATTATAAAATATCTTTTTTTATAATACTTTATTAATCCTTTTTGTGTATACTTAAATAAATATCCACTATATTTAATTTCCATTGTTTTGATAATTTCTTTTATATTATAAATTATAAAAAATAAAAAAATAAAATAATCATAAAAAAAATATAATTTTTAAAATTTTATTTATTGAATTTTATTTAAATATAAATAAAAAAATAAAAAATAAAAAATAATTATTAATTATTTTTAATCTAAATATACGTGTGAAAAAATTAAATATAATTTTATTATTTGTAAATAATAAATAAATAATAAAATATAAACACACTCTTATATTTTTTTTAAAAATAATAATAGAGAAATTTATAATTGAAAAAATATTATAGATTATTAATGTTTAAAATATTTATAAATAAATTTTATTTATCCTATTTGAAATTATTGAAACTGTATATATATCGAAAAAATGAAAATGAAAATGAAAATTCATTTATGGATACCAGTTAAGATCAGCACCAACACCACAGTTAAGACCTTGATCGTTGTATTGTTTAATAGCTGGGCTTGACCAACCAGCAAATGGTGAGAAATCTGAGAAACTTGGGTTACCATCTAAAAATGATCAAGTAAAGAGAGTTAGTGTGGGTTTTTTGATTTATTTAAATATAGAATTATTAAATACATACCATAATGAGCATACCAGAGTGGATAGCTAGCACCACCTGCCCAGTCACCCATGATTGGGATCCATTGTGATTCAGAGGTATAGATACCAATATGAGCACCAACTGATTCAAGACCACTGATTAATTCGTTAAAGAAAGCTTGATTGGCACCTTGGTCATCGCCCCAATATAAACCTGGACCCTCAATATCTAACCAGATCATACCAAAGTTAGCACCTGTGTCCTTTAAATGATTTACTAATGAAACAGCTTGACCAGCACCATTACCACATGATGAGCATGGGAATAAATATGAGTCAACATATTCAACACCAGCATCACGAGCATTTATAATTGATTGAGCTCCATTTGGATCTTAATTTATAAATAAAAAAGATTAGTTTAAATTAATAATAAAAAACTCATATAAAAAATATTTTAAACATACCAATTTCACCAGTGCTGCAATAACCTCTAACAATGGCAAAGTCAAAACCAGCATTTTTAGCACATTGGAAAAATCCAACAGATGCAGCCTTTAGGAGTAATATTTAATAAATATTAGTAAATTAATAAAGTAAAAAAATTAAAAATTAAAAATTTACCTGACTAATATCAATACCCGAGAAAGCAACAGTTCTTTGAACAGCTAAGAAAATTAAAGAAATAAGTAATAAAAATAATCTCATTTTATGTATTTGAGAGAAAAGAGAAAATAATAATTTTTTATAAAAACTTTTTCAATTTATAAAAAAAATACAATCTATTTTTTTTTAAAGGATGATTATAAAAATTAATAAAAAAATAAATAAAAAAATAAGATATTTTAAAAAAAGATTTTTTTAATACCAGGTTTATAAAAAATTAATTTTTTATTTATTTTTTAATTTTTTTAATCATCCTTTAACAAAAAAATATAAAATATCTTTTTAATGATATTTCAATAAAACTTTTTTTTTATAAAAATGGGTTTTAATGAAAAATTATTACGGAGGAGATAATTTTAAATAATAATTATAATAAAATAAAATTAATAATAAAAACAAAGATAATATGGTTATAGTTTTTAATTAAATATTTGTTTTATAAAATATTAATAAATATAAAAAAACAATAATTGGATTCTCTATTTTTTTTTTTTTTTTTTTTTTAAATTTAAATTTAAATTTTTTTTTTTTTTATTTTTTTTAATTTTTTTTAATTTTTTTTTAATATTTTTCAATTATGGCAACCTTAACACCCAATAGCACCAGCAATAGTAATACAGATAATAATACTACAGCTCCAGATATTATATGGATCAGATTATAAACTTAAAAAACAAAGATGATATAAATAATATAGTTGGATTACAAACTGGAATGTTGGTATTATTTGTAATTAATTTTATATTCAAAACAAAATTTATCTAATTTTATTATTATTTTAGATTAAAAAAACAATATGAAACCAATAGTAGGCTAAATCATTTTAATGGCTATTCGTCTCAAAAATTTTCAGGCTATCAACCGATTTTGAAAAACATACAAAAATGGTAAAGGAGATGGAAATAGTTTGAAACTATTATTTAAAAAACAAGGGAACATGAAAATATAATAATAAA